CAATTTGCTCAGGAGATCTTGTCCCTTTCCCCTTCTCCAGGGGACCGTGTATGTCTCTCTTAGGGCCCTCCTTGTTTACTAGCTTCTCTGGCAGTGTGGATTGTAGGCTGGTAATCCTTTACTCTATATCTATCTTGGCACCGCCCCACCCCCTCGAGGTGAACCGAGGGGGGTGGTGGTAGGGAGGGGGATCCCTGGAGGGGGGCTCCCACTTATTCTACACCTCTCATGTTTCTTCACCGTGCTAGACTATAGTCAAGCTCAACAGGGTCTTCTTTCCCCACTGATTCCTCCAAGCCCGTTCCCTTGGCTGTGGTTTCGCTGGATAGTAGGTAGGGACAGTGGGAATTTCGTTCATCCATTCATACAAGTCACTAATTAGATGACAAGGCATTTGGCTACCTTAAGAGAGTCATAGCTGACAAAGTTTTCTAAGTCACAGTGATATCTGATACAGTTCCCAAATTCCTCAATCTCCTGGGTGAGAACATCTGTCATTCCAATCAGGTGTCTCCTGGTGGGCTCCTGGATAACCTCAGGATGGAAGCTGGTTGCCAGGGGGGCCCAGTGGGCCCTGTAGTAAAAAATGTTTACTCTTTTGAGGGGCCCACCACCCAGCTTCCAAGTAAATCATACACAGAGTCTTATTATTACTTATGACTTTCCGGCCTTAGCTTGGCTTGTTCTAGCCAGCTTTTCTTATCTTTAAATTAGCCTGTCTACCTTTTGCCTCTGGGCATTTCCTGTTCTGTAAATCTTACTTGTGGATTGCCATGTGGCTGGGTGGCTGACCCCTGACATCTTCCTCTCTTCTTGTTCTCTTCTAGTCTCTTTCCTTGGTGGTATTTCTATTTTTACTGTCTGCCTGCCAGCCCTGCCTACTATTAGCCATTCTTTATTAGGACCATCAGGTGTTTTAGATGGGCAAAGAATCACAGCTTCGGGGCTGGAGAGATGGCTCAGACATTAAGAGCACTGCTTGTTTTTCAATAGGTCCTGAGTTCAATTCCCAGCAACCACATGGTGGCTCACAACCACCCGTAATGAGATCTGGTACCCTCTTCTGGTGTGCAGATATACATGGAAGCAGAATGTTGTATACATAATAAATAAAATCTTTAAAAAAAAAGAATCATATTTTCACAGAGTTAAACAAATGTTGCATAAATAAAGGTCACACACCTTAAAATGATATACTACCATAGGGCCGTCTGTGTGATTACAGTTGGAACTTGCAGCTCCAGTCCCCAACCTCGGGTATTAAAGAGATTGAGTCAGACACTAGCATCAATGACATAATGAAGCTTCACACAACTCCAGAGAACTTGAGTTTGAGAGCCTCTGGATGGCAGGACGTACTCATTGCCTAAGGAGGGCACAGGAGCTCTGTGCGCATTCCCACACAGATCCTGTGTCTCTTTCACACCCCTCTGTTCATCTCCATCCTTCTTCGTGCCTCCTATGAATAAACATGTGAACATAAATTAATGGCCTAAGCTCTGAGTTGCTAATTACCTACCTTACTTCCTGGAACTGGCTTCTGAAGTCCAAGGGACTACGTCTTCAGTCTGTCTGCTAGGTAGATGGTGTCAGAATGGAACTGATCCTCATATCCTCATGTCCCTACCCCCTCTCAACTCTTCACAGGCCCTTACGCTTGCTTATTAAGCACTTTACTCATGGATGCATTCCCCAAGCCCTGCCCTATTTCATTCTCAGTTTGGTAATCTGCATCCTTTTTCTTCCATTTTGCTAGAGATTTATTGGTATAATTAGTGATCTGCTCAAATACGAGCTCTTTGCTTTTCTTGATTTTTTTTCCAATTTTTATTTTTAGTTTTATTAATTTCTATTTTCATTCATATTTTCCATTTTCTTGTTTGAAGTTTAATTTGCTGCTCCCCCCACCCCCCATAGTCATAAATTGTATGTTTGGGTAATTGACTTGAGAGCCTTTTTTTCCAGTGAGAAGTGATCAACTTCTTTGATGAAAGTCATTTGCTTACATGTGTGTCTGTGTACCATGTGTGTGCAGTGTCCTCAGATCCCCTGGAACTGGAGCTGCAGATAGTTGTTAGCCACCACGAGGGTGCTGGAAGTCAAAGCTAGATCCTCATGAATAACAGCAGCCAGTGTTCTTAACCACTGGGCATCTCCCTCTGCCTCCACTTTCTCTCTCCTTTTAAAACATTTTGCTACATGGTACTCTGGCACTTGCTTTATTCTGTACATTGCTTTTTTCCCCTTTAACACTAGGGATTACTAGGCAAGTATTCTATTGTTGAGTTACATCTCCAGCCCCTCTTTATTTTTCTTTTGGACAGATTCTTGCTACATGCATGCTGGCCACCAACTTATGGCCTCAAAGCCTCCTGTATAGCTACAATTTCAGGTGTGTGCTACCAAGCCTGGCTTTGCTGTCTGCTTCCAATAGCAGTTTTTCTTTCTTTATTTTATTTATATTATTAATGGCCTTAAACTCCTCCTACCATCCGCTGAATGCTGAGATCACAGATGTGTGCCGCCCACCACACCTGGTTTATGTTGTGCTGGGAAGTGAACCCAGGACTTGAGTTCACACTAGGCCAACATTCTACTAGTTGCTAGGCACTGGTTTGACTTCTCCAAGTTCAGTGAGACATGTAGGTATTGTCTTCAGCCGTCGTTCCAGGATTCTTGAATATGTGAATTCTTTGGGAAAAGAATGGGATAGTTTTATCTCCTTTACTTATCTCCCCCACCATGTGCATTATCTATTTTGTTAAGGACCCATTTGACATAAAGAGATAATTGCATTTCTGCACAAACTCTCTTGCTTGTTCTGTCTAGATAACCTCAGATATATGAAGACTTACACAATAATTCCTTTTGTGTCCCATCGGAACTGTTGTTAATAACCACTTTAAGATCTGTAGTTGTGATGGGTCATGGGGAGCATTCTTTCTTAAAAGCATTCTCCCAGCCTGTGCTTTTGCTCTAGGCCAGTGGTTCTCAACCTGTGGGTGGAGACCCTTTCACAGAGATCACCAAAGACCATTGGAAAACCCAGATATTTACCTTATGATTTATAACAGTAGCAAAACTACAATTACAAAGTGGCAACAGAAATAATTTTATGGTTGGGGGTGTTCAAGCACAGCAGAAGAGACTGTATTAAAGGGTCGAAGCACTAGGAAAATTGAGAACCACTGTTCTAAACTATGCTCAGCTTCTCAGCATCCCCAGGGTGTAATCCTTAGACTCATCATTAGTTCTTTTTCTTTTTTTTTTTTTTTTTTTAAAGATTTTATTTATTTATTATGTATACAGTCTTCTGCCCCCATGCCGGCAGAGGGCACCAGATCTCATTCAAGGTGGTTGTGAGCCACCATGTGGTTGCCGGGAATTGAACTCAGGACCTCTGGAAGAACAGTCAGTGCTCTTAACCGCTGAGCCATCTCTCCAGCCCCCTCATTATTAGTTCTTATGCTGCTGGTGTGACCTTTATCCAGGGATGACTTTGATCATTCTGCAAGTCCATGCTTTTGTGTTAAGTGTAGTAGTGTGTGCCTGTAATCCTAACATTTGGGAAACTGAGATAGAGGAGTGCTTTAAGTTCAAAGCCAGCCTGGGCTTCGTAATGAGTTCCAAATCACCGAGGACTGGGAAGACCTCATCTAAAATTTTTAGGAAAAGAGTACACCTTTTAAACTTCACTAATGATTCTTTAGATGCTGACTTTCCTTGCATAATGGAGTGGCTGTTTGACAGGAATATTTATCATTCCAGATCCATATAGTCTTCATTTCTGAAGAATTATGTATTTCTTAAAGCCCCTTTCCTCCTTGTTTTAGATTTTTACGGGGTTTGCTTTATGAATACGCTCCATGTGATGTCGTAGTTGAAAACTCAGCTGTAATAAAGAATGACTTACAGACCATGCTCTTCTCAGACATCAGCTTTTCAAATACAAGGAAGGTCGGGCAGTGGGGAGCACTGTGTTTTCTTTGTTTCAGGCTTGCTAGGATTCACTCTACACTGAGCTCCCCCAGCCTGGGAGACATTCTCTGGGCTCTGTGGAATATAACAGGGTGTTTGCTTTTTCAAAGCCAATGTGGTAATCTCTGTCATCACAGACCTTATAAAATATCCACAGAGGCCCACTGTTAACCTGCATATGTGGACTTTAACCAGCTGTGTGGTTTATCTGCAGTGAAAGCAGGTGTCACTAGGAGGATGAACATAGCATTCATTATGTTCTCCTTTTCACTTTCCAGTAGTAAAGAACTAGTGTCCCCTGCCCTTCTCACAGTGGTGTGGGGAAGATCTGAGATAGATGTGATTAACCTCTCAGAATAAAGGCTTAACATTGTTGCAGAAAGATTGTTACAAGAAAAATAAGAACATAATATAAAAGCTTCATAGCCGGGCTGGAGAGATGGCTTAGCGATTAAGAGCTGTTCTTCCAGAGATCCTGAGTTCAATTCCCAGCAACCACATGGTGGCTCATAATCACCTTGAATGAGATCTCATACCCTCTGCTGGCATGCAGGCAGAAGACTGTATACATAATAAATAAATAAAATCTTTAAAAAAAAAAAAAAGCTTCATAGCAGCTTGTACCTGGTGTTTAGTGTGTAAAAATAAACTATTATTCTGATGTTGGCATATTTTTAAACTGTACTCAAACTGACTGCTCTTTCAGTTTTGACCACTCCTGCTATAGATTTAATGTTTTGTTAATAGGAGAGTCGATTCCAGCACACCCATTTGGTTTCTTCCTGCAGATCAACAGAGATTACAAGCTGTTTGTAAAATTCACCTTCAGATGGCTTTAGCTGTCTCTGCCAATTATAGATGAACTTTAGTTCTACAAAGGATGAGAAGTTGGAGTTTATAAATGTGGTGAAATTAAAGCATGTAAGGGCAGAAATCAATTTCTTAGTTGCTCAGTATTTAGAGATACAGTTGATTGTTTTTGTGGTTCCAGATAGCAATTATTTCTAATATTTATTTTGCAGTGAGGGCCGAGGCAAGTTGACCGTATTTTCAGTTAAAGCTATGTTAGCAACCATGTGTGGTGGAAAAATGCTGGACAAATTGAGATGTAAGTATTTTTCATATTATTTGAAAGTTTTTATTTTTCAAATCAGGATGTTTAGACAACTTTAAATGAATGAATGTTTTAAGAGTTTTGAATGAGGCTCTATTGTAGCAGTTGGCTCCAACTACATGAACTGTGCCACCTACTGTTCAGATGGATAAGTTGACTTTATTTAATTTTTAAGATGAAGTTGACATCTTAAAAATTCTTTAAAATGCTTTTCATATTAGTAAAAATGTGATTGGAGATGATTGTGTTTTTAAGCTAGAAAATAAATTTAATTGCTTTTACTTGGCTTGGTTAAGTTTAGCATTCTTCTTACTAACTACATTCTTTACCAGGTGATCTTTGCTGTGATCAAACTGTTCCTTAGGCTTAGATACTTAGAAATTGGTAGCCTGAACTGGGCTGTGGGGACATGCACTTTTAATCCCAGCGCTTGGGAGGCAGAGGCAGGTGGATCAATGAATTCCAGGCCAGCTTGATCTACAGACAGCCAGGACTGTTTCCCAGAGAAACCTTGTCTTGAACAAACAAACAGAAAGAAAAGGAAAGAAAGAAAGAGAAACTGATAGCCCGATCCCCTTCCCGGCCTGTCCTATCCCTTTCCAGCTGTTATTCCTTTCATTGATCTTATTTGCTTTTTGTTTCTCTCTCTCTCTCTCTCTGTGTGTGTGTGTGTGTGTGTGTGTGTGTGTGTGTGTGTGTGTGTGTGTGTGTATTTCTGTTTCCACAGGCTGCCATTCATAACTATTTCATTTTGCTGCTGTGGTTTTTACTTATCTAGTCATCAGGTTAGGTGTATATGTCTGTACCTGCTTGTCTGTTTGTGCACCACACTCATACATATGTTGCCCTTTTTTAGAGGGCAACAGTGGGGGCATTCATCTAAATTTAGAGCCTCGTTTTAAGCTGTTCTTTTTCTCCACTTTGTTAATACTGTCACGGCAAAGAAACACTTAGGGTCAGATGCCACGTATCAGAGAAATGAAAGCAAAGTGTGGGTATTAGTGAAGTGTTGGAATTATGTGTGTTGGGGGAGGGATGATTCAAGAGACTAAAGTGTTTGTCAGAGCCTGACAGGGCCCCAGAACTTGCACGATGGGAGTAAAGGACCCGTCTGTGGGTTCCATGGTACACACACACACACACACCCACACACAGAGAGAGAGAGAGAGAGAGAGAGAGAGAGAGAGAGAGAGATCAACATCATTTTAAAGAGATAATTCCAACATTTTATGTTTGAATAAAATGTAATTTCATCCATATTATCCTTTTCAAAAGAAATCTCCATAAAAGAATTAAAAAAAGGAAAAGAAAGAAAAATCCTTATATTATCCATATTAACCTTATCCATAGCATTTGAAATCTGTATTGTTCAGGGGTCAGCTATACTGTGCTTTTTCACATTTTATTTGTTGTTGTTTGTGGTAGTGATGTTTGGTTGTGTGTTCCTGGTCCCTGGCTGATTGGATGCTATTAGAGGTGTTCTATCTTTAGAGATCTCTTTGCTTGATTCTGTAGGCCACTGACAGAGAAACATCACACTTGTAATACTCCTTAAGTGGTAATCATGGTCAGTTTGGGCTTCGTGAGGACCTTTCCACCTGGGCTCTCATTCCTGGATGTTCTCTCTGGTTGAGGTGGCTGAGGAATGACACAGGCAAAAGAGACATAATATTGCTTGGTAGCCTCCAACCATAGTTTATTTACTTTCTTCTTTCGTCCACACCTCAGGCTCTCCTTTGTGCCTGCACTGTTATCTCTAGTAAAGTTCCCCCTATATTAAGCCTCTACTGTGTGGAACACACCCAAGCACTTCTTTTTTTCCTTTTGCTTCTTGCCTTTTAGTATTTTTTTCAAATATTTACTTGTTATTTGTATTATGTGCAATGGTGTTTTGCCTGCATATATGTCTGTAAAGGTGCCAGATTCCCTGGAAGTTACAAACAGTTGTGATCCACCATATGGGTGCTGGGAATTGAACCTGGGTCCTCTGGAAGAACAGTCAGTGCTATCAACTACTGAGTCATCTTTCCAACCCTGCCTTTAGAATTTTTTAGCTAAAAATTTCCTCTCTACAAAAATTTATGTTTTATTTATTTATGTGAATATATTTGCTCACTTATCTGTATGTGTACCACATTCATACAGGTGCCTGCTGGAACTGGAAATACAGGAGGTCCTCTGCAAGAAAGCCATTTTATTTTTGCTGCTGAGCTATCTCTCCAGCCCCTGCCTCCACCTTTTATATTTGATTTTTTTTAATAACAAAATAGTATTATAAATGACTTTACAGCTGTTTGTGGTTTTGGCCTGAAATGTGTTAGATTTTTCAGAAATGCTTGGAGTATTTCTGTCTCTAGGACATTTACAGAAATGTCCCTTACCGTGGGACATTCCTAGATTGAAAGGTAACTTACATAGGCTTCTAAATGCCAATGACTTGTAGTCAGGGTATAGACTTTAGTTAAAGTGTGATTAAAACTCAATGTCAGCACCCCAGCGTGGGAGCAGCACCTGCAGACAGAAACCACAACTGCCAAACCAGACTTAGTTTCTACTTGATTGGTGACTGACTTTGTCAGGGTTTGCTCTTTGTTTCCTAAGAAATTTAACCCTCTTAAGCCGGGTGTTGGTGGTGCATACCTTTAATTCCAGCACTTGGGAGGCAGAGGCAGGTGGATCTCTGTGAGTTCTAGATTAGCCTGGTAGAGAAAAGCTAACCTGAGATTCTTCCTACTATGTTTGCTCAGAATTGGCTTTTCTCACCATTGTTTCAGTCGCTGGCTTCTGGTGTTTCATTAACAGGTCGTACAGAGGCGTCTGTCTGAGGTTTCAGTTGAACGGTTTTCCCTGTTCAAAATTCTGCTTCCTTTGCCCAGGCCTTTAATCACCTGTCGCTCCACCCTCACCCACACTGGTGTCTGTTGGCCAGCCCTTGGCTTCTCTTTTAGTCTGCATCACAGATGCCTATGAAGTGTTTTAGAATTAGAAGCAAACAAGAAATTCTCTCCATATCTGCACTTATGAACTATAAAAAAGTGAAGAAAAACAAAAACTAAGAGAAGCTCCTTCCTAATGCTGCGACCCTTTCATGTACTTCCTCATGTTGTGTGACCAACCATAACATTGTTTTATTGCTGTGTCATAGCTGTAATTTTGCTACTGTTATGAATCATGATGTAAATATCTGATATGCAAGATATCTGATATATGGCCTCCAAAATGGTCATGACCCTCAGGTTGAGAACCATTGCTCTAGAGGCACAGAACACTCTCTCTCACACACACACACACACACACACACACACACACACACACACACACACTCACACACACACACACACACACTCACGTGTGCACACGTGCATATAAAATGCATATATAACATTTGTATACATATAACATATTCTAAAAGATATATTTTAATACATATATACACATGTGCATATGTAAATATATATGGATTTTATTAAAATGACTTACAGACTCTGGTCCAGGTAGCCCAACAATGTCTATCTATGAACAGAAGATCTCGGAATCTAGGAGCTCTTCAGTTTATGAAGCTGGTTGTCTCAACTGGTCTTTATTATATGCCAGAGTCTCAAAGGAATAAGCTCTAATGCCAGCGAAGGAATGGACTTGCCAGTGAGAGCAAGCAGGCATGTCTTTTATATAGGGTGCCAACAAGAAAAGTGTGACCCAGATGAGGCTGGACCTTTCCACCTCAAAAGATCTGGATTAAAAGTGGGTTTTCCCACTTCAAATGATTTAATTAAGGAAAATAAATCCCCTCACAGGTGTATCCAGTCCCTTGGGTTTTATTTAATTCTAGATGTAGCCAAGTTGCCAACCAAGAACAGCCATCACAGAGGCCAAGAACTCTTTGTAAGGAAGGGGGTGTGGCTGAATCAAAGGCTGCTGACTTCATCAGTGGAATTTTAATGAGTCTGAGAGTGCAGTGTGCCTTGTATTTAGTTGTGTGTGATTAGAGACAGACAGATGTGTGTATATGGTTTTCTGGGTTAAGTTACACAGTAGGTTGAAAGATGGCAGAAGTGGAAGGCATCTTTGCCAGAAGACATCCATGTAAAAGGAAAATGGGTGTTCATTAATAGTCTTGTCCCTTTAGTCTGAATGGTCCTGTCACTTTGCAGAATCTTGTGGTGATGGGTTTCATGAGGGTGAAAGGAGATGACACAGACTTAAGATAGTCAGTGCTTACATACAGACATAAGCAGTCATTAAAATTGGTCTGTTATCACTGGGAACAGAAATCAAACATGTGCAAATGGTAGATCAGTAATATTATGCCTTTTGTTACACAGGAGATAGAGTATTTTAGAAACTGGAAGAGACATGTGCATTGAAGGGCTCAATTGTGAATTTTCCACAAGGGATAAAGCCTACCCCCCTTTCTTTCAGCTAGGAACAACTGTTGGGAAACTGGCATACTTTCTGTTCTTTCATAGCTGTATAGACAGCATGTTCATCCTGTTATGGCAGAATGGGATGGAGCTTTAATTAGAGAACTTATAGATTTTTTTTTTCAGTGCTAAGTGTGGAACCTGTGGTCTCACACTTGCCACACACCCTCCGTTACCTCCAAAGCTCTTGTTCTTGATAGTTTTATTAAATATTATTTGCTTCTTTAAGCTTTGTTATATGCATGTAGTAAATTACAGTAACTTAGATTTCTTGTTATTCTTCATTTGAGAAATCAGCTTAGTTTTGCACCATTTTTCTGCAGATAAGAGCTTATTTAAACAAACAAACAAACAAAAACAAGCCCACTAGTTAAACCAGTAACTCAAAAAATAATGAGTTACCTTTTGGATCTAGCTGTACTTCTAAAACAAACATGTTCCTTTCCCCCCTTTTTATAATCTGTGCCCTTTCCTGATTAAAAGTTACTTCTTGAGTCCATTCAGCATGACATAGTAAAATCGAAAATACGTTTTTGTGGATTTGTGGCTAGTCATGTGATCCTTTGGTTATTA